CAGTCAGTTCCCAGCCTCCACTGATGGACCAGCTGATGCTGCTGCAGCTGGGGAAAAGAAGCCGCCTTTGCTCTGGCCCAGGCTGAAGTGAGGTGACAGGGCATGCACTGAGCTATCTGTCTGTCTGTGAGTAGCCACAAGGATAGTACAAAGATGACATGGAACTCTTTGTTAGAGGATGTTTTCTAGGAACAAATCCCTCAGCAGTCAAAAGACAGCTGTAAGGTTGGATGGCAGATAATTAGGCTTCTCTTCTAGTCAGCTCCTCACTTAGAAGTGTCTCCTGAGACTGACTGGCCTTTTCTGTTCCACGCCCTATTGAGCAGCAGTGTACAGGGGTTGTGATCACTGCTTTGATGAGGGATGTGCTATGAACTGCTGCATTCCCAGAATGCTCAACCTGGGACTTCTCTTTCTTTCCTTAATACCAGGTGCCTGAGGATCTAAATGAAGAAGATAAAGCCAGCGATAACCTGTTGGCTTTATGTCATCACCACAGAGACCTAAACCTGATCCCATGTGGTTCTGACAAAGTTAGGTTTGAATGTCAGATTTCACCACTGTGGAATTTTTAAAGTTTATTCTTGCTGCTCCTGTCTTTATCTCTTCAATTCCAGGTACCATGTAGCACCAATTTAAACACACAAATGACTTACACCATCCTATGAAGAGAAAGACCCATTTCCGCAGCTTATCTGTGGAGTAAGTCATCACTATGGCGGTGTGTAAGTAGCAGCCTTCCACAAACATCCAGAAGAAGTTGGTCACCACAAAATAATTGTAGACGGTGGTAATACATCGACACCAGGGCTGGAAAGGAAACAGAAAATAATATTTTAAAATCATGGTGAGAACATTTGAAAGATGCTATGTTGTTATTCCCTTAAAAATCTATGGTAGAAGTCATTCACGGGATGCAGATTTATGCCTGTGACTTTGAATCTCAATAACTTAGGTGCTGTTGGGGACTCACACCTATGTCTGTGAGTTTCTGCTGAGGTTTGGCTTAGACCACAACATGCATGATCTCTCCTCAGCATGTCTGGAAAGCTCACATGCCATAAGGCACGTCCACACCAGCAGTTTTCAAGCAGTTTAAGAAGCAGCCGTGTGGAAAGAAGACAAGAGGAGGCAGGTCATTTGACCAGAGATGATCTCTCAGAGGTACAGCCATAGCCTAGGGTCATATCCAAGGACGACATAAGAGTCTAAGCATATCTTAGGCAGTATAACCCACCTGCTGAGAAATTCAAAGAAAATATAAGATAGAAGTTAATGTCACAGTCTTGCTTCATTTGCACTGAAGGGAAGGAACGCCACTGACATTTAGAAAAAAGATACTTTACTGTAAATATATGCTTTGATCAGCTACTTCATCCTCTCTGTTCCTGCCATCAGTGCGTCAGTCTGTAAGTCACATCACTACACACATCACCTCTGAATCTTGCCATGAGTTCAGTAGGAATTTTTGGTCAGGTTCAATGTATCAGTCAAGGCATCTTCCCCTAATGTCTGTGCCGTGAGAGCACAGCTGTGGAATACACAGCTACAGAGAGGCTGATGGTAACATCCCATCAATAAACCACATGTAACTGCTGATGGTAATTTCCATAGTGCTGCACGGAGAAGACTGGGAAAATCTCTTTCTCACCAAGCAGGCATTCAGCATATTGCCTGAAGCATGACATTAATTACCTATGTTAGCTGGTATCACTGATGTCATTTTGGTTTCACCATTCTCCAGCCTTTTAATTAACTCTACTAAAGTATTTGAAACTTTTGACCCTCAGTTAATTTTATTTCAGACTTCGTATGCATGAGGTATTGATGGTCTCCAGGCAGGCAACAGAGCAGCAGATGCACTGTGAAACCCGGCAAAATTCTGTGGACTAAGAATTTATTGGACAAGAAACACAGTTACAAAATGACAAGCCCATTCACAAGTTGTGATCACTTCTGTTTATTGAGCTGAAATAAACAGAAGAAAATTTTTGTATGTGTTAAAGCTTTAATTTCCATATTACTTCATTAAAATTTGTAATCTAGTTTGGTTTCACATTTAAAATACAATTAAAAACCAAAACAACTCAGACAAAGATGAAGCATTTTGTTTTCAAAGGTTTGTTTAAACCAAATGAAATGTGTTTTTTTGTTTGTTTGTTTGTTTTTTTTTGTCCTCCTTTTGGCCTGAGCAAAGGAAAATAAAACCACAAACTAAAAAAATCCCTATTTTTGGATAACACAAAACAAATATTTTGCCTCCATTCCTGATTGACCTCCAAACTAGTAAGACTAGGTTTCCAAAGACTCTGTCTCACATTACATTTTTTGAAAGTATGAACATGAATTAAATCTTTCCCTGTGGTCTCAATCTCATGTAAATTCTCTGATATAATGTCTAGACTCTTGTTCCACCCTTTCCCTCAGTTGCAACACTTACACAGTTCTTGCCCTCTCCACACATTTTCACAAGAATTGCAAAAAACAATTATAGCTGAGCCTGTTCTTCCTCTGTCAGAACTAAGTGGAAATCGCCAGTGGGTTGGGAAATACTGGGTCAAATACAGACAAATACACATGGAGGTGGTGAGATCTCCCTCTGCATCGTTGCCACAGGAAACCAGAATAAAATGAATTTTGAGCAATTCCTTTTGGAACTGTGGGTTTGTTATTATTAAATAATAAACCTAATTAGCAGAACTCATTAATTTATACCATTTCATTTATTAGACTGAGAATTCTTGATCCCCATTAGGATTCAGGTACCTTCAGTAATTCCCTTTCTTGATTTATTAACATAAGCACTATAACTTGATGCAAACTGTCTCCACGTTGGGTCCTTGATGCTTCTGTAACTGCTTTATTACTGATCAGAACAGAAGAGATCGCCTCATTAGCTGGCATAAATGATGCTGCTCCCATTGATTTCAGTGGTGTTATTTTGACCCTGACTTATACCACAATAAGAACATAAAGTTATCACTAAGCTTGTACAAAGCACCTTCCCAAAAAGACTGCAGTGTTCTGCAGAGAAAAGATGAGTTAATGGAAACGGAAGCATGTGAAGATCTGTTCTTATATTTGTAGGTTCATATTTTCCTCGGCACTTTGTGGTCACATTTTAAAAGGCATTTGAGTGCCTGACTCCAACTGATTTTTCCTAAATAAGTATGAAAAATCTGTATTAAGATTTGCAGTATTTTCATGAGAGTAAATCACGCAGCATAAAACTGCCAACAGTAAAGCTCATATACCACCGTCTTCTGCAGCCTGAAAATGTCAGAAACACAGAAAATCAAATGGTGAATTAACAGAAGCTACCTCTTCTCAAAGGAGCGCCTGCTTGAATAATAATACAGAATTATGCATAGATGTCTCAAAAAACCTTAGAATCGTAGATGACTTCTTTATCTCGGTACTAATGACTTTTCTATTTGTTTTCCCAAAGTATGAGATTAAAGTTCAGATGTCAAATCTTACATTTGAAAAGTCAACCAAGGATGACGAGTGCCCAGCCGACATTAAAATGAATGGATATCCAGGCTCCTGGGGTGGTTTTCAGTTTCTACGGGACCAGTTCCTACACAAGTGGAGTCACATTTATATCACCTCTAGATCCAGCTCATAATCTAAAAGCACTTAGGTCCCCCTGCTTTCCAAAGAGACACTATGAAGAGGGGGTGTGTGTATGTGTGTTTGTAGCACACCGTTAAGTTTTTCTTGACTAGGCAGGTAAATATGAGGGGACAACCCTAAAAAGGAGAATATTCCACTACAAGAATATTACAATGGGAATGAGAACAGGAAAAGCTTCTGCCAAGGGACTATCAAAAAGAGCTATTACCCAAGAAAATAGAGTTAAATGCTTTTTCTCTTGGAGTGGATGCTTTTAATCCACTCCAAAATCCTTGTATTATTGGGGCTGCTTGATGACCAAACAGGGGGAGGCATTCAGTGATTCAATGATTCAGTGTCCTCACTCAAATCAGCATCTGCAATTGGGAGTTACTTGACTGAACATGAAATTACACAGAATGTAAGAGAAATGGGAGCGTGGTGACACACTGCATTTCTCAAGAGTACTCAATGCCATTCAAAGAACATGCCCCACTTCTTATCCCCTTCTGCCTTCCCATGTTTTATTGTCTGGTCCCTTGAAATGGCTCTGACTCCGTCACCCATCAGAAAGTTGACTTGGATCACTATGCCGGCAAAAAACTCTTCCTTGCCTTTTTGTTGGCTAAGTTAGCTCTCCACCAGTTCATTCTCCAAGAGATCAAGGAGAGGAACAGAGCTTGTGCAAAAGAAGCAGCGGGAGCTGGAGTGAAGCATTTGGGTCCCTGGAGGAATGAGCCATCCCTCTCAGTGACCATGAGCTGATGAAGGATACAGCCTGTATCACAGAACTTCATCCTCAAGGCCAGCAGGGTGAAGAAGGGATTAGCAGAAAAATGGAATTTTGAATGAAAAAACCCACAAAGATATCAACAAGCAAAAAATTGTACTGTTTCAGGCCCTATTTCTTATTTTCTTGGGAGTCCCACTGAATCCAGGCAGCAAGGTGCCCACTGTCATCAGGCAAAGCAGCTGACTCTGAGCCTCAGCAGCCAAATCAATTATTTCTGTACCTTGCTTATGGAGGTGTTGCTCTCTGGAGTGAATGCTTTCTCTACACAACTGCACATCACAGCAAGACGCTCTGACAAAAATGTTCAAGAATAACCAGATTGTCTTTAACAATACTGTGTCTCACAGTATACAAATTTGGAAAGTATGTGTTCAAGAACCACCAGATTGTCTTTAACAATACTATGTCTCACAGTATACAAATTTGGAAAGTATCTATGGTCAAAGAAGATAAGAGAGAAGCATTTGGGCAGGTTTTTTTACTTTAAAAAAAAAACCCATTGATATTTAGTAATGAGGAAATAAATGAAAATTTAGCAATTCTAAGCTGATTTTTTTCACCTTTTTGAAATTACATGCCCTTTGTAATATTTCTATCAGTTGAACAAATGAAGCATCCCTGCCTGCCCCCAAACTACATTGCAGAGACAGGCTGCCTCCAAGCACTTACTTCATTGCTTTCATGTATGTTGTGGTCTATCATTTGAAGCAGAAACCACATCACATTCCTCAGGATGAATGTGGTGATCAAGTTCCAGTGGATAATATTCCGCAGGCATCTGATACTCCTAAACAGGGAAACATATTTAAATCATCATACATAGTGAATATACATATACATATTCATAAATACAAAATAGCAACAGGATGATTGCAAAATCTGTGCTTCTTTTCTTCCCTATATACCTTTCTTCCAGAAACCACACAGGATAACTTTTGCAAAATCATGTACAACGATTTGTCTTGATAACATGAGGAGCTCCCTTTGACAATCATCAATTCAAGCAAGTGAAACAGGATCTACTGGAAAGACCCAAATATTCAAATAGTCATTTCATACTTGGTTATAATTTTTGCTCCCTTCCATCCCATCCCATCACCTCTATTACAACATCAACTAGAATTGATAGGACCCTAAACAACAAGGCTGCACCAGAGTCTGTTGCATTGTTCACAGAAGGAGATCTGGTGACAAATATCTGCTCTGGAGTGGCAAGACTGGAATAATTTACATTTGGTTAATCTCTTGAACAGGCTTGCCTGTGTGAAATTCAAAGTTTTCTGACCCATTAATGAGAAAGGAGAGCATGGACTGTCCGGTTTCCAGTCCTGAGCTCAGCTGGCTGTACCAAGCTTTCTTAAACAAGCTGCATATCCTCCTTCACCAAAAAATATCTGTGTCTGTTTTTAAATAAAATAAGAGCACAATGTAAAATATGAGCTACAGTGAGTTGTGACACAGTGCCATAAAACAAAAGATATTTTAAATAGCGCTTGCTGCTGAAAATGGCTCCAGGAGGCAGCCAGAGGATGATGCTGATGCCAGCAACCAAAGTATCCCCGAAGCTAGACAGAAAGTTACTCATTCAGTCATCTGAGACAAGATCACTTGTCTTCACATTCTTTGTGAAACAGTAAAGGAAGGTGACTGCCAAGTTGCAGTTTTGCAATTCAATGATCTTTTCTCAGCTAAACACAAAACACTCCAGTTACTACAATCACTTCCAGAGGGGTTCAAATAGCCAGTGCATTTCCCAGGATCATCAGGTTAGGATCTTGCATTTGCCACATTGGTCTCCCTGCTTGCAAAGGATAACGAGGGACAAACACAGAAAGTGTTCTTCTCAGACCTGCTCGGCTGTAGCTGACTGTAGCTCATCCTGCTGACAGCAGAAAGAGGAGGCACAACCCAGTAACCTCAGGTCCTGTTGCATGACAAGCAAGCCAGCCTCCTTAATAACACAATTTTGCTATCATACAGCACTTTTCCTAGGACTTGATTAGGCAGTTTTAGGGCCAGAAGCAATTCTGTTATGTCCTTCAGCCTCACAAATCTCTCAAAGATTTCACAGCAATCCAGCAAAAAAACCAAATAGACGACCTCTCACATATGAGATACAGCAACTTACAGAAAGAAGATCAGAGATGTAACCCTACTAAGTCAATGTTAAAAGAGCTTCTGACTTTAACAACTCAGGCTCCAGGTATGAAATTGGTATTTGGTTTTGAGAGCCTCAGTGACTCATGACTGAAGTCAATTTGGAAAATAAATCTCCAGGCTACAAAACCCAAAAATGTTGCTCTCAGTGAAACCTGTGCTACCAGGGAACATGTCAGAGACATGTCTCATTTTGAAAATTTCACTTCTAACAACAGGCAAAGGTTCACAGTTAGGCTTTCAAAGAAACTAGGCAACCAACACCTACTGACTTTCATGCTGCAGCCCAGGCACCCATCTGGCTCTGGATACACTTTGAAACACGCTATTAACGTCGGTCCTCTGTCGTTCTGCACATAAATATCCTGTGGCTGCTGTTTAGATGTTTTATTCACTCCTTCAGGTTAAGGGTTAGTAAATTAAGCAAGAAGTTTGAAATATTGCTTCTGGTGGGAGAGAGAGGCAGAAACTGAGGAAATTCAGGTCAAACTGTAGAGTTACTGACATGAAATTCATTGTTTTTGAGAGCTCTAACAACAAAACAGATCCAGCATGCTTGCCACCTGGATTTACTTATTGACAAAGAGAAGATAAGGGAGTGGAAAAAAAAAAAAATCCCTGCTGCTTGCCTCCATCTAGTTTAACTATCCCATACACTGGGACACCAGCTGGAAGAAGCCTTATTCCCACAAGCCTTACAGCAGGACATTGAACTGGCTGCAGAGACAAACAGGATCAAACTAAGAGTTGTAGACTTCTTGTTCAGTTCCTAAAAAGTTTTTCCCTTCAGTAGGATCCTAGTCATCAAAATCATAATCTCTTCTGCATCTTGGAACATAAAACCAACCTCAGCATCTACTGGCTGTATGATCATTGCTCTCCTTACTACCTTTTGGTTCACATTGTTTTGTCTTCTTTGCCCACCTGTCTCCAGCTAGTCATTGGCTTTTGTTTGGATTGCAAGATGCTTGGGACAGAGGAAAACTTTTAGGGATGTCGGTTTGGGATGCAGAGCAAGAAGGTCTGGTCTGTGTTTGGGAACTCCCAGGCTCTACGGATAATTATGATCAAAACTCTCCTTGTTTAGAAAAAGCCACGTGTGTTTAAGCAAAAGCCATACTTTGGGTATCAGCAACCTGGATGGTAAGTAGATGTTTTCACCTGCTAAAAAAGCTTCATGTCTTTGGGGCTAGCAGAGCGATGAAGAAGAGGCTGTAGAGCAAACATGTTGCTTTTCCAGCTGCTGTCTCTGCCCAGTCCCATTCCCCACCACACTGCTGCCTTGGCAAAGCGGCACAAACAAGTGAGGGGCAGGATTTGCTCTTGTGATGTCTGAGCCGCTGCTCTGCTGGTGTTACCAGCAGTTAGGGGTTTAATGGAAGCACTGGTACAGTCAGGCTGAGAAACACACGTCTGAAAACGCCGCAGACTTTCCCAATAGCTCAGGCAGCGACGTGACCCCAGGCACAGAATGGGTTTAATATTTTCCCTTTTTTTTTTTTTTTTATTTTTTCCCTTTCCTTTTAGTAAGAGTCTGAATTAGAGACTCAAAAGTTTGTTTTTGTTTGTAGAGAGCCCAGAGCACATGGTTTCTGTTTGTTTCTGTCTCCTAACTACTACTAGGACAGAAATCACAGTGGCAGTAACGCAATTCACAGCCAAGGGCAGGAAAAGCTCGAGAAACAACTGTGTCAGGTTCACACTGGGGAGGGAGAAGCAGCAGGGTTAGCAGAGCATGCGGAGGCTGCGGGGCACAGCCGCGGAGGACTGCAGCTAAGCCAATTGATGTAACAAGGGAAAGATCTCTTGCCAGCCACCTGAGAAAGCTGCTCTCGTTTACAGGCACCGCTGGTGGATGTTCTTATTATTTATAATGGTAAAGCATCTAGAGGGATACTGGCTGAGATGACGGTCCCCTCTTTTCAGGCACTATTCACGTGAGACTGGGTGCAGGAACTAACCCCATTCATAAAGTTTGTCTCTGTTGCCAGATTGGAGTCTGAGCTGGACAGTGAATGGAGGACATGTCCCAGACTGGGCAACAAAACCCGTGAGTAATAGGAGACCCGCAGTGCAGCTAATGTTTGGTGAAGGGACAGGTGACCTTGTCATACTCACTCATCTCAAAGCCTGAGGAAGAAACTCACGATATTCATTGGGGTAATTTGTCCTCCACAGGTCTTTTCCTGGCTCTTGGTAGATGGAAGCTAGCTTAAATTGATAAGCCTTAATTTAAATATGAATACTCCTGTTAGTCATTAAAATGACCTGTCCCTTTTTGAAAACTTGTTGAAACAGTCATAACCATCTTCTACGACAACGAGCTACTAACATGATGGAATGAAGAGCTCATAAGCTGCTATTCATGGTAAAATACATTTGTCTATGTTGGTTCCTCTTCTCTGCTTTGTCTTTCCCCTCCCAAGGGCTGGATGAGGAGGCATTTCCTCTAACTTCCTCCCTCCTGTCCTTTGGGAGTTGCAGGGAGGAGAGGTGGAAAGAGCCTGGAACCGGACGGTAGGAAACTGCTAGTGCTGTGGGCTGCAGGAGCAAGTTGGGAGGAGTGGAGAGCATTGTATCTCCAACATGTGCTCCTGAAGTAGCACCATTCCTGCAGCCATTTCACTTCTGTCTGTGCCTGACAGCAGATCTGGGGCCTGAAATATCCCCCTGAAACACAGCAAGCAGTCAGACAGGCACAAGCAAGCAGTTACACCAAAGTGAAGGGCAGAAGGAAAAAGATTTCCTTGAAAAGGAGAGAAAAAAAGGACTGATGGTTTCTGACTTGAAGGGAGGAAAGATTCTGCCACTGGAAACATCTTGGCTCCATGAGTGAGAAGGTTTATTGGTTCCTCATGATTTCCTAAGAACCAGTGCTGTGTCCCCTGCTGAGCGATTTCCAGACACCGCTTCTGACAAGACAAGAAGCCTGCCGCACAGGAGTCCTGCTGCTGCGCCGTTCCTCCTGCTGGCTGGGGCAGAGACGCCCTCGCATCAGACAGGAAGGACTTTTTGCCAGAAGTCATTGTTAGAACACAGACACTTGCCTCTAGTGAGGCTTCGGATAGAAGAGCGTAGCGAGCGACGGCGTATTTTCACGAGAGACTCAGTTATGAAGTACCTGGTTTTCTATTTACAGGAATTTGGGGACAACAGCACAGGAAAAGGTGTGTGTTCCAGTGAGTTATGAGTCCCAGAGCATGTCTGTGGTTGTGCTGGCCAAAACCAGAGAAGATGATGTGGGAGCACATGCCTCCCACTCACTGCACACACACTGAGCCCCATCAAAGCATCAGCTTCAGCTCTGCGGCGGGAGGTGAGACACAAAAGAAGCTATTGAGGTGAAAGCAAACATACTTCTCTTTAGCCTTCCTAATTAGTATGATGGGAAATGCTGACATAATGACCTCTTTATTTGATTTGAGAACAGGCCATGTTTCAAGCCCAGATGTCACTGACTTGATATCGTACCACTGGCATCCTGAATGGCTTGATGTGTGGGGTGTCATAACCAGGCTTCCACGTTAGGAATAATAGCAGGAAATGGGAAAAAAAAAGCAAGCAAAATTCTCCAGGAGTTGACTGCAGCCTGTGTCAGAGGTGGGCAGGAAGAGTTTCTGATCGTTGGTA